ATGAGGGTGTCACCTTGGAAAAGGATCATCAGGTTCCTCAGCCGGGGTAAGCTTAACCCACGTTACATCGGCCCATTCAAAATCACTGAAAGGATTGGGGTTGTGGCGTATAGGCTTCAATTAACTCCAGAGTTAGAAAAGATCCATAATGTATTTCATGTTTCCATGCTCAAGAAATATGTACGGGACCCGTCACATATTCTCGAGAAACCACCGGTGGAAATCCGGGAAGACCTTCATTATGCAGTGCAGCCGGTAAAGATCATGGACCGACAGGTAAAGAAGCTAAGGAGCAAAGAAGTACCGATGGTGAAGGTGCTTTGGAAGAGTGATCGTGTCGAGGAGCAAACTTGGGAAGTGGAGACCCTGATGAGGGAACAGTATCCATTTTTGTTTGACTAGACACGTGGATTTCGGGGACGAAATCCCAAATAAGGGGGGTAGAACTTGTAACACCGCCCCCAAGTATTGGTACTTTATCAAATTGTGTATTGAACCCGAGAAATGAATAAACGCATTCTACGTAATTGTAAATTTTTATCATTTCTCTTACGTGAATAATAGAATTCACGTGGGGCCCACACCGGAAGTGGGGGCCACCCGATATGTTCGGGACCACATATTATATTCGTTTGGGTCAAGATAATATGTGTATAATGGTGGATGTCCTTGTTGGGCCATAGAACCTTTGTGAGCAACCAGTTGTGCATGTGAAGCCCATTTATCGGTATCGAGGTAATATTAGATAAAAAGCCATAATAAATTATGGAGACCATCAAATTAAAATCTGGGAATATACATTCGTTCTTATAGCCAATATTAATTGGAAGAGTGATAGATATTTCATTTTACCCGATAAAATGAAATACAATTAAAACAGTCCGGAAAATACAACTTTCGGGACCAAATGTACACTTGGGGACATAAAGGGATGACCACCCATGTGACACTCCATAAGTTTAATAAAATAAAATTTAATATTAACTAAGCTGTGGTATTCATTTGTGGATAAAACTTTCTTTAATTTATGTTTCGGGACGAAATATCTTTTAAGGAGGGTAGAATGTGACACCTCGAAAAATTTAATAAAATAAAATAAATAAATTTTATTAGTCAGATAAAAATGTTACGAGAGTGACATTTTAATAATTAAGTGAATCAGATGAAATTTTAACATCAGTGACATTTTAATCAGATAAAAGTGTTTCAATAATAAACATGACATTTTTATAATAATTATGTTGACTACATAGGACATTGACTTAAATAACAAAAGTGACACTTTTGTTACAGGTGATAACTATACATATGACACAAATAATAAAAATGATACTCCGTACTTTAATATGAGTAAATAAAATAAGTACAAAAATACCACACAAAAATAAAAATATTAGAAGAGTTGACTTTTAAAGCCTAACTAATAGTGCATATGATATTACATACTCCGTATAACAATAATATGCCTGCAATGGCAATAATATACCAAGTACATCACATATTAATAATAATATACATAACAATAATAATATAATAATAAGGTGAGGTAGGGTGCCGCACACACATGCAATGCACCAATATGGAGACACATGCGTATGTCTCAAATGAAGCCAAGATACCCAACTCATCCACCCTAGCCTAGAATTTTCCTCATGCCTCAGCAAAATGAACAACAAACAATCACACATGCTATATCGATCAGTAGTTAGAAGAGACCAAAGACATGCGAATGATGAAGCAAACGAGCTACGTGTTCTTATTCTACACCAAGCGAAAACTAGTGACCTGCGTATTCATATAAACACAAATACATATTTTAATATTTACATGTATACATTCCCATGTGAAACCTGCTATAACCCTTTGTCTATATATCAGTTTATATACTGGCCCCGACCTGAACTTACACCCGCACCTCTTCTCTGTGACCTGCTATCTGAGCCGACCGATATATATACATATATGCGTTTATATACACAATTTTTCAACCCTTTATTCTAGTACAAAACCAGAGCTTAAACACCTCTGAAAACCTTACCCTCCGTGAGAGGAATCCAACGGCGAAAGAATCATTGAAAACGGACGTGAAACGAGGGAGAAAAGCTTCGCCGTAGTTCACCGGAGTGACCGCCGGACTGGTTTTACGCCGAAGAACGGAGGAATCCCTGCTGCTGCCGCCAGACCACCTCTCTGCCACCAGGTCGACCTGAGACGTCCTCCTCCGCCACCGTACCAACTCTTCCATCATCAATAAGGTAAGCCGGCTACCCCTTGCGTTTTTCCGGTGATTATACGAAGAAGACAAAGTTATGTAAGGAGTAGTTCATGCGAACAGGCTGGCTAAGTGTTTATTTGGGATTGGGCTGAAATTTTATAAAGCAACTGGGCTGAATGTTTAATAACAAAATTAAATATTATTAGTTGTATGTATTGATAAACCGGTCAATTGCTGTAAATATCTGGGCTGATTATATTCATTTAGACCATTAACAATAATCATATAAACAAGTGGACGGTTGAATCATTTGGTGGATTGAACTGGAATTGTACAAATGGTTACGTCGGCCGATTACTTTTAAATACCGAACTACTACTACTACCAATAATAATAATAATAATAATAATAACAGTAGTAATCTGCAAAATGAATAAATTTGAGATGAGAAATATTAATGATGATGTTGGCTTGGTTGATCGATAATAATCACTTGGATAAATTGTGTATTTGTTATTTAACATAAATACATAATGTTAAATGGTAAAATAAACCGATGTGTAGTTAATAAAAAGTTAAAAACTAATAACGTGACCATGAATAATTAAGAGATAAATTGGATTACAAATTGTGGATTATTATTTACACTAAAATAGTGGATTAATTAAGATGGACTAAATAAAGGCAATTAGAGAAATTTCATAATTAGGATATATTATCTGTAATAATATACATTTCGGATCTATTATTTTATAAGTATTACATTAATAACAACATCTTTAATTGATGATGATTAGTAAATTAATTATATATGCGGAGGTTGGATTAATAATAGTAAATAAATGAAAGGCCGAATTAAAAATAGTAGAGTAAGGAATAAAATTGATAGAAGAAACTAATCGATGATTAATGGCAAAATGAAATTCGAATTAATGGCTAAACAGATTGATAACCTCAACTAATAATAAGGGAAAAATTTGGTAAATAATTAAGGTTAGAAAGTCGACTAATTGTATCATCTTAACTAAAAAGGTGATTATCTAGAGACCACAATAGAGGAAGAAAAATAGAAGCATTGGATTTGAGGTAAGTTTCTCTGCCGATCCAAAATGATTTCCTCGTATTATATGCTTATTATGCATTACATGATTAAGTGTGAATTTTGAATTATGTGTATGTGATGTTGAGGAGATATTAGATCTATGGTATTTGAGAAGTGCAAACTAAGTACTTTTGGGTATTAAATATTTTTAAATACCTGTGAGACTATTTAGAGAGAGTGAGAAATATTTTTTTTTTTGGAAGTATATCTAAAGTCAAGATAAAATTTATGTTTTCATAAGAAGTGAGCACCCGGGAGAAATCCGTGGTGTCGGTTTTCCACATCCGGATAAATGTGGAGGGTGATTAAGGCTGCTACTACTAAGAAGTACAGTTTGAGTTTGAAGTGACATTTGGATCTATGATCCCTTTTTAGAAGAAGTTATGGTAGTAGTAGTCCCTAATCATTCAAGAATTTTAAAGGTGGGGTAGTTGGTAGACTGAGTCCCGATTACTCGTGACGACTTACTACTCGGAGGGCTTGGAATCCCTTTTAGGGGGTGTGCACACTTAAGGTAGTCGTTTCGTTTCCGCAAGAGCAGTTGTGGTACCGGCACTCGTTCGGGGTGGCCGTCCGTAACCACGGTCCACCGGGCTCAGTCGAAAGGTTGAGCACCGCCCTTCTAAATTACTAGGAAGATAGAGAAGAAGTGAATTTTGAGAAAATCTAAGAGAAGAGTTACTATAGTATTTTCAAAGAAAAGTTGAGGACTTTATTAAAGAAGTGATTTTGAGAAATATCAAAGAGAAAAGGATTTTGGTGGAGTGTGTCATTTTTATATAGTATTATATGAAAAACTATTTTTAGCCAAACCTGATTATTTTACGGGGTTGGGTAGTACTTACTTAGCTCTAAAGCTAATTTTTGTTCCCTTTTCTTTGTTTTGTTTTCTGCACTTTATTTGTGCAGGTGATGATGCTTATGTGGACTGATGATTGTATGACCACGAGAGCGGTTTAGAGATGCCTTAGTCAAACCTAGTTATAAATAAACAATCCAATTATGTTGAACACTTGTTTTACTTTGTTTGGTGATTGCCTGTGCATTCGGTTAAGAGATGACCGGATGTGGCGGTAACACCCATTTCCCATTTAATGTTATTTCCGCTGCAAAACTTTTTATCTGTTTTGAAAGAATAAATCAAGTTATTATCAATAAATCTATTATTTCAAGTATTATTTTGGGAGGGAAAATGGGGGTGTTACAAATTGGTATCAGAGACCTTAGGTTTTTGAAAGGATTAGGACACGGGGTAATAGGTCGTAGGGAGGAATTCTGTCAACGAGACGATAAGAGTCTGAGCTGGTTGGTGCATAATTGAGCCTTTGCGCTCGTCCAACCAACTGGGAATTTCTCCTTGTGCTGAAACTTCGTTGTTCGAAATCTTTGACGAAAACAATGGTTTCAAAGTGGGGATTTTCAAAATGTTTTTCGTAAGAACTAGGAGAATGAACATACTAGGAAAAGGACCTTTCTAGGAACGCAGTGAGAAGGAGAAACCTTGACGATATTATTGAGTTATGAAATGCTTGAGATTCGTGCCTATGTGAAGTATGTGGACATGTTATCCTCTGTATGTGTTTATCTGTCATAAGAATTTGAGTTAGTAGAGAACTTGCATAACATAGAAGCCTTATGAATGCCTTAGTACTTAGTATTCGTTTTCTTTATTAAGAATCATGCCGCCAAGAAGGAACCCCCACACAACCCCAACCGTTGAAGAGCTTGCCCAAACTGTCCAACAAATGGCACAACTTATCGGAGCGGCTCAATCCTCGAACCGTGGGATTGATTACGCAACAAGAGTAGCCGGGCGGAACCCTCCAAAATATTTGGGCGAGGAGGACCATCTTATTTTGGAGGACTGGATTCGCACCTTCGACAAACTCTTTGACTCACTCAACTGCCCGTTGGAGCAGCGAGTGAACATTGCGGTGTATTACCTGCACCAAGAAGCGGACCACTGGTGGGCCGCCACCGGACCAGCACTTCTCGAGCAACCGGGCTTTGACTGGGAGGACTTCATAGTAGCTCTGCGTGATCGCTTCTATCCGGATCACGTAAAGGAGGCAAATTATGACGAATTTGTCAATTTCAAGCAAGGTGACTTGACTGTTCAGGAATATCACACGAGGTTCGTCCAATTGGCTCGTTTTGCCAAAGACCTTGTGTCAACCGAGGCCAGCATGACCCGCAGATTTGTTAACGGGCTTAACTACGGGGCCCAAAAATTCGTGACTGTAGCAGAGCCACGAAACCTGAACGAGGCATATAGGAAGGCTGGTAAGTACTATCTGGTACACCAGAAAGAAAGAGAGGCACAGAAGAGAGATCGAAAGAATGCTGAAATGGAGCAGCAACAAAAGAAGGCTAGAACTGACCGCCCGGAACAACGTCAAAACAATCAAGGCGGGAGAACCATCCATGGCCATGGTCAGGGGAGAATCCAGCCAACTCAAACACGGTACTACAAATGCAAACTATGCCCAAACAACCATCCTGGGAAGGATTGTGCAGGGAACGCGGTGAAGTGTTATAACTGCAACCGTATGGGGCATAGGGCGTATGAGTGCCTGGATGAGAAGAAACCCCGGATCCAGGGCCAAAACCAGGGGAACAACCGGACCGGGGGTGGGGATAATCACATTAACAACAACCGTGGTAATCCCGGAAGCCGATCAACGGAGGGCAACCGTAACCCGGGCCAGGGAGGGCAAAACAACACCCAAGGCCGGATCTACGTCATGAACCAAGCTCAGGCAAATGCCAATGACGACGTGGTGTCAGGTACATTCCTTGTAAATTCTACACCTGCTCATGTACTGTTTGATTCGGGTGCATCCCACAGTTTTATATCCTCAAAACTTGTGGAAAAGTTAAAGTTAGAACCTACCACTACACTCAATCTTAATGTAAAAACAGCATCTAATAAGGTTGTAGCTTGCGGGAGTGTTTTCACCAATGTTTCTATAGTCATATCTGATACCGAATTACCCGGAGATCTAATCCAATTTGACTTGGAGGATATCGACGTGGTGTTGGGAATGGACTGGCTAGGAAAATATAAGGTGAGAATTCTTTGTGATGAACAAAAGGTGGTCTTGAGAGGACCCCACAAGAAGCGTGTATCCTACAAAGTGGTTACATCTCAGCCAGGCGTGAAGCTGGCAACCATGCAACAAGTCAAACGATACGTACGGAAGAGGTATGAAGTTTACTTATGCATGATCAAAGACTTAACATCCGAAGATCCAACCATTGATCAAATCCCTGTGGTCAATGAATTTCCGGATGTGTTTCCGGAAGAAATTCCGGGGATGCCGCCAGAGAGGGAAGTTGAGTTTTCGATTGATCTAATGCCGGGCACCGCACCTATTTCAAAGGCACCGTACCGTATGGCACCAAAGGAGATGCAGGAGCTGAAGGAACAACTCGAAGAACTGTTGGAGAAGGGCTACATCAAACCGAGTGTCTCACCGTGGGGCGCTCCGGTCTTGTTTGTAAAGAAGAAGGATGGGAGCCTGAGGCTCTGCATCGATTATAGAGAATTAAACAAAGCAACAGTCAAGAACAAATATATGCTGCCTCGCATTGATGACCTCTTTGATCAACTGAAGGGGGCTAACACATTCTCCAAAGTTGATTTGAGATCCGGGTACCATCAAGTGAGGATTGCTGAGAAAGACACTCCGAAGACGGCTTTTCGAACGAGGTACGGACACTATGAGTTCACCGTGATGCCGTTCGGCCTAACAAATGCGCCTGCGGTATTTATGGACCTCATGAACCGTGTGTTTCGACCCTACCTCGACTTGTTTACTATTGTATTCATCGACGACATCCTGGTGTACTCTAAGACACCAAAAGAGCACGAAGAACATCTGAGGACAGCGCTGCAAACTTTGAGAGAGAATCAGCTCTATGCCAAACTCTCAAAGTGTGAATTCTGGAAGGATCGGGTAGCATTCTTGGGCCACATCATCACCCAAGAAGGTGTATCTGTTGATCCATCAAAGATCGAAGCAGTGATAGACTGGCCTACACCCACAACTGTGACAGAGGTCCGGAGCTTTCTAGGCTTGGCAGGCTATTATCGCAGATTCGTGAAGGATTTCTCAAAGATTGCAAAACCTTTGACTAACCTCACGAAGAAGACCACGAAATTCATATGGGATGAGGAATGCAAGAAGGCTTTCCAGGAGCTTAAGCAAAGATTAACAACCGCACCTATCTTAACCCTACCATCGGGTACTGAGGGGTTCGAGGTTTACACCGATGCTTGTTTGAAAGGGTTGGGTTGCGTATTGATGCAAAATGGCAAAGTGGTGGCCTATGCATCAAGACAACTGAAGACCCAAGAGGTAAACTACCCGACTCATGACTTGGAACTGGCAGCGGTTATCTTCGCCTTAAAACTATGGAGGCACTATCTATATGGGATACAATGTAAAATTTACACCGATCACAAGAGCCTAAAGTACATCTTCACCCAAAAGGAGCTTAACATGAGACAAAGACGTTGGCTAGAACTCGTCAAGGACTACGACTTGGAGATTCAATACCATGAAGGGAAAGCAAACGTAGTTGCCGATGCGCTAAGCCGAAAGTCAACACACTCCTGCAGAGCAACATGGATACTACCTGATGAGCTATATCGGGACTTTCAAAAACTAGACTTGGAGGTACGGGATTTCGGAGAAGTAGATCGGGAAACGCGGTTACTCGCCATGACCGTTATCCCATCTCTTTTCGACGAAATTAGAGCAGGGCAGCCTGGAGATATAAAGTTGGACAGAATCCGAGCTGGTATGACGAATGGCTTAAACGGACCATTCAAACTACACGAAGATGGTAGCATTCGACACAAAGGAAGGTGGTGTGTCCCGATGAAATGTGAAGAGATTAAGAAGAAAATCATGGAGGAGGGGCACAACACGCCTTACTCGGTACACCCTGGAGGCGACAAACTCTATAAAGACCTCAAAAACAATTTTTGGTGGCCAAAGATGAAGAAGGAGGTAGCTGAATTCGTGGCTAGATGCTTAAACTGCCAGAAGGTGAAAGCCGAACGTTGCAAGCCCAAGGGACTCGTGCAACCTTTAGAGGTGCCAAAATGGAAATGGGATTCTATATCCATGGACTTTGTTGGGGGCTTACCCCCAACCAAGTCTGGCAAAGACAAGGTTTGGGTTATAGTTGATCGGTTAACAAAGACCGCTCGTTTCATCCCAATGAACGAGACATGGAGCATGGAAAAGTTAGCTCGAGCTTACATCAAACATGTAGTTAAATATCATGGAGTTCCACAAGACATTGTTTCTGACCGTGATTCTAGATTTCTATCTCAATTCTGGAAGGAATTGCAAGCTGCTCTGGGGACGAAACTGAAACTGAGTACAGCCTTTCACCCAACCACTGATGGACAAACTGAGCGAACAATCCAAACACTCGAAGACATGCTGAGAGCATGTATGTTAGACCTACAAGGGTCATGGGACGAACACTTAGACTTAATAGAGTTTTCATACAACAATAGCTACCACGCCAGTATCAAGATGGCCCCATACGAAGCTTTATATGGTCAAAAGTGTAGAAGTCCACTATGCTGGGGCGACTTGACAGAGAAGGTGGTGTTAGGGCCAGAGTACCTACATGAGACCATGGAGAAGGTGAAGCTGATTCAAGCTAGGATGAAAGCTGCACAAGATCGCCAGAAGTCTTATGCAGACTTGGGGAGGAAGCCAGCCGAATTCAAAGTAGGAGAAAAAGTCTTACTCAAAGTCTCCCCAACGAAGGGAGTAATGAGATTCGGAAAGAAGGGAAAGCTAAGCCCGAGATTCATTGGCCCGTATGATATCCTCGAGCGAGTGGGACGATTGGCATACCGTTTAGCTTTACCCATGGAGTTGGCTAAGGTAAGACACATCTTAAAACCTCTCGATGGTAAATATAATAGTAAGTGCCTCTCAAATACTAACGTGTGATGTACTTAGGTACACAACGTTTTCCATATTTCACAATTGAAGAAGTATATTCGCGACGAATCACATATCCTTAACCCTGAGGTACAAATCGTAACCTTACGATTTTCAAAATCAAATTCCACATGTCTAACATTGACTCAATTAGGTGGTCGAATTGGATGAGACATTGACTTATGAGGAAAGGCCTATCCAGATCCTTGACACCAAAACTCGTGAGACTAGGAGAAAGTCAATTAAAATGGTAAAGGTATTGTGGTCTAACCACTTGGCCGAAAACGCCACTTGGGAGTCCGAAGACGATATGCGCAACCGCTATCCAGAGTTATTTGACTAAGGTAAAACGTTTGGGTTACGGGGACGTAACCTTGTTTTTAGAGGGGTAGAATGTAATACCTCTGAAAATATAATAGAAGATATTTTATTTATTAGATTATGCTTCGGGACGAAGCATCTTTTAAGGAGGGTAGAATGTGACACTCCATAAGTTTAATAAAATAAAATTTAATATTAACTAAGCTGTGGTATTCATTTGTGGATAAAACTTTCTTTAATTTATGTTTCGGGACGAAATATCTTTTAAGGAGGGTAGAATGTGACACCTCGAAAAATTTAATAAAATAAAATAAATAAATTTTATTAGTCAGATAAAAATGTTACGAGAGTGACATTTTAATAATTAAGTGAATCAGATGAAATTTTAACATCAGTGACATTTTAATCAGATAAAAGTGTTTCAATAATAAACATGACATTTTTATAATAATTATGTTGACTACATAGGACATTGACTTAAATAACAAAAGTGACACTTTTGTTACAGGTGATAACTATACATATGACACAAATAATAAAAATGATACTCCGTACTTTAATATGAGTAAATAAAATAAGTACAAAAATACCACACAAAAATAAAAATATTAGAAGAGTTGACTTTTAAAGCCTAACTAATAGTGCATATGATATTACATACTCCGTATAACAATAATATGCCTGCAATGGCAATAATATACCAAGTACATCACATATTAATAATAATATACATAACAATAATAATATAATAATAAGGTGAGGTAGGGTGCCGCACACACATGCAATGCACCAATATGGAGACACATGCGTATGTCTCAAATGAAGCCAAGATACCCAACTCATCCACCCTAGCCTAGAATTTTCCTCATGCCTCAGCAAAATGAACAACAAACAATCACACATGCTATATCGATCAGTAGTTAGAAGAGACCAAAGACATGCGAATGATGAAGCAAACGAGCTACGTGTTCTTATTCTACACCAAGCGAAAACTAGTGACCTGCGTATTCATATAAACACAAATACATATTTTAATATTTACATGTATACATTCCCATGTGAAACCTGCTATAACCCTTTGTCTATATATCAGTTTATATACTGGCCCCGACCTGAACTTACACCCGCACCTCTTCTCTGTGACCTGCTATCTGAGCCGACCGATATATATACATATATGCGTTTATATACACAATTTTTCAACCCTTTATTCTAGTACAAAACCAGAGCTTAAACACCTCTGAAAACCTTACCCTCCGTGAGAGGAATCCAACGGCGAAAGAATCATTGAAAACGGACGTGAAACGAGGGAGAAAAGCTTCGCCGTAGTTCACCGGAGTGACCGCCGGACTGGTTTTACGCCGAAGAACGGAGGAATCCCTGCTGCTGCCGCCAGACCACCTCTCTGCCACCA